ACACCCACGCACGCAGACACACACACACACACACACACACACACACACACACACACACATGAATAATAGGACAAAAGGAAAAAATGTTCGTTCGTCTGGTCTTTTTATTCATTTTTCCATTACAGATACATTCTATCTGAAAATAGTTTACACATACACACAAACACAGACACACACACACATATATATATATATATATATATATATATATATATATATATATATATATATATATATAATACATATACATTTACCTACGTTTTAATGGTACGTAGGTACACGTATATATATTAATTAATATATACCTTTGCTCTGTATAACCGCATGGAGCACTATCACGTTTACACATGTATAAATGCGACGATTATTTATTTGCTTACCCGCGTACACAGCTGCTTATATCTGGCCGTTTCATTTATCCACCCTACAGCAATATATATATATATATATATATATATATATATATATTATAAAAATTATAACATAAACATAAGTATAAAAAAATCACTACAAAAATAGCCATTTTGTTTCAACACCCTCGATGTCTTATCAAGTGATGATGTTGAAGATAAAAAAATGATGATTGAAGATAAATTTTTTTTTTTATCTTTAACATCATCACTTGATAAGACACCGAGGGTGTTGAAACAAAATGGCTATTTTTGTAGTGATTTTATAACATACTTATGTTATAATTTTTTTATAAATAATAATTATATCTGCTCTACTTTGTATTGAGTACTCTTTTAAGAATAGTAATTGTTGGTTATTGGAATTCATTCCGTACGCGTTTTGTGACGCGTTTTGTTACGACGAAAGCTTCTTCAGACTAATAAATATGTAAAAAAAATAAAACAAAAAGAATCTAGAAAGCATCGGAATATGTCTTACTGTATTTTTTTATTGCTCTTTCTAACAGCATTTTGACCATTAAGATGATATTCACGTCTTATGTCATTCTATTGTGCAAGAAACTCTGTTGATTAGAATTCTAAATGTAATTATAGTTATGTGCCTCATCATGCTAACAATCAGGTGAAGTTCATAATCATTTTCAGCTGGCTTCTCCGGTATTCTATGAAGACAAATCCCTTGATTCCTTCCAGTGTTGTCTTTTATTATCATAGTAAATATACATACCAATTTACTTTAATCATTTGGAGATAAGAAAATTCATCTCCTTTGACTTGTCGTAATCAGTCAATAATGTTAAGAGGAATTCAACATTGTTCGTTTATTCTATGGCCAAATTTTTCGGCGAGCTAAGAATTAAATATCATTGATTACTGTATCTCGATATAAATATTAATGTTATTAATGCTATGACTATTGAATTCCTTTTTTTTAACTACCCACTATAGAAAATGCAGTTATTTTCAGTTAACAAATTACACATGCAACTGATGAATTGGGACCAATTTAAAATCTGGTAGAATGACAGAATATGGAACAAATAGAAAATGTTTATAAATTTAATATATTTCGCTTTTATTTAAGCTCTATCCAAATTGGAAAGAAATTATGAAATATCAAATACAATTTAATAAACCTAGAATTCCGAAAATGCGTCAAAGTTTGCTAAAACGCAAGATAGCATTCAGAATCCTCTGTTCTATTTGATAAAACGGATGACACTCACAACATTGCAACCGTCAAGACACTGCGAAAAAAAATACAACTCTTTATAACCATTTTGATAAGAAGCTACATTTGAATAAGACCTCATCAGAAGTCTAGTACAATGTAAATAATTATTTTCATCATATGATATTTTGCCTGTCAGTAATTAGGTGTTGGTGAGACATCAGAACCAAAGATTAACTTGATAAGAATCGCAAGATTTCATTAAATGTCTGGCAGGAAAAGCATCTACGCATGCGCAACACAAGTCACATATTCACGGACAGAAAAATGTTTTAAACCCAAATATTTTTGTACTCATAGACACAGAGATGCACACACACACACACATACAGCTCATAGTCAGACATGTACACAAACATACGAAAATATACGTACAGACACTATCTTCCAAGTATTTGGTTTGTAACAGTCCATCCCTTACTGACCAGATCATATATATTCATGTGTAAAACCAAGCAAATATAATCGCACCGACCCATACACAGACACACACACACACAAACATATATATATATATATATATATATATATATATATTTATGCATGTATATGAGTATGTGTGTACGCGTGTACGCGTGTATGCGTGTGAGTAGGTGTATTTGGACGGCAATAATTCGTTTACGCTATTTTACAAAATGACTAAGAAAATTGATTTGTTAAAGAATATGTTGTCATTTCCTATATTTCTGACCATTTTCCCTTTTCCGGGGAAATTGTGGGATTATTTAGTGACATTAAGATCAGAAACTTAGGTTAAAACATAATGACATATTTCTGGCTTTGCGCAATAGGCTCCACGCATAACTACCGGTGTAAGTTGATTAAATACAATCCTAAATAAATAAATGTTGACCAGTAAGAAATGAGCGCGCCTGAAAGAATCAACAACTTAATCGCAGCCTCTTTCAACTTCCCTAACAATATAAATAGACACCTGTCTAAAAGAAAAAAAAATTCCGACAATAGACACACAGAGACAGACGAACATTTACAATTATGAGCAGATACATCAAAGGCGTCTCGGCTTCAACAACCAACTTCCTCGTCATTTTCACCCCTTTACTTCTCTCATACACTCTACCTCCTTTTTCTTATTCACAGGACATATTACCAAATGAAACTTGCATCTCTCCAAAACATTTATGTACTTTTACAAACTCTTGTATTCATTTAAATGTAATAAAAATATTTTATTTAATCTTACTTAAATACCAACCTTGTGCCATCTTTGGACATTACTAATCTTTTTTACAATATGAAAATACTTATTAATGTTTATATAAATTATTATTGTTATACACCAGTTTATCGGGTTTTATTTAATCATTCATATATAATTAATAGTGGACTAATCCTAACAAGGTCCAAATCAAACCCCAAAATAACCCACTATAAGTATTTTCGCCAGTAGTACAGCCATATAAGGGCAGGTGTTGTACAGTCTCCACTTTTCAGTCTTGATAGAGTTCAATAGCTTCTACGCGATATTTATGGGTGATAAATTATTTCTTACTATACAACACCTTTCCATAAACGAAACGTAACAAGCTTCTCACTATTCCATCGCTGTATCCCTAGAAAAGGGTTTAGACGAACTAGATTCCTTAGTTCCACCAGTTCTAAGCTTAATAACTAAGGTTCGCCATTCCACGCAAATCGTAGTGAACCAGCCTAATTCCATTCCATTGGTAAGATATAGGCTTTATCCAAACAGATCCTTCCCACAACCACCAGCTTTACAGAATGAACTCCCAAAAGACTGCTTCCTCAATCAATACAATTTAACCTGTTCAAATTTACGTTTAATCGTTATCTTCCCCATATATTCTTTTAAAGTTGCTCACTTACCTCTTACTCTGTAACCCTCTAACTTGAGTGACTCTTGGGCCTTGAATAGGGTGAACATTATTGAAAAATTAGGTATTATCTAAAATGTTTTCTTGATAATATTTGGAGTGTATATATTTATTATTCTTTTATGTGAGTTTTATTTATTCAAATAGCGCGAATTCACACATGTCATTTTTTAAATGTCGCGTTTAAATATCAGTTTATTTTCTCGTTTGTTTTTTTCTTTTTCTGGAATATATTTAATGTAATAGTTCTTAAATTTGATAACATTTTATTTATGTTGTATTGTTTGTATTTATTCGTAGTGCGTGCTAGTCCTATTTTTAGTCATTTAGCCAAAATTTCGACTATAAAGAAATGTTACCATAAGAAATACTTTACCTTGAAATCTAATTCCAACGATATCCTTCGATGTAGCTTTCTTGAGTATTATAAAACAAAAAGTATTATGTCACCATAAAAAAAGGTTCTACATAATTTTGCAGAGGATATCATGGGCTGAACATGTGAGCAACGATCAAGTTTTAGAGAAAATGGAAGCAAAATGAACACATACTTAACATCAAGTAGAGACAGCTGAAATTTTTAGAACACCTTATGAGGAAAGAGGGCTTGGAAAATCTGATACTCACAAGACAGACTGAAGGCAAGCGGGAAAGAGGAAAACAATTCATAAAATACTTAATGCGATTGACTAAATGTGAGGCGGAACAGTGTTTTGGAGAAATAACAAGAGCTACAAAGGACAGGAAATTGTGGAGAACTATGATCGCCTACGTCCTGAAAGGACATGAATAAGATGCATAGAAACAGAAAGAGACAATTGCTGGGATATATAATGAAGAAAAAGGTTTTGGGGTATTTAACGCTTGCTCAAAATACTGGAGATGATAGTGATATGCGTAGAGAGTGAATATGTTATCTAACGAACTCGCGTAGATGGATGACAGAACAGGGAGTGATAAAGATAGTAAACGACAAACATTTCTAATGGCAACAAAAGGAAGGCACATGAATAGAGATTTGGCCTAAAGAAACACGCCACATAAAAGAAGAATACTACAGCATAAGTAATGTACTCATCCAAATGCCACATTAGCCTGAAACTTTTCCAAGTCTGTTCTCAAGATGTGAAGTACATTTTATGTAGAAAATTAAAACAGTTACTTTATACCATAAAAAGAATATACACTGCGATAAAGAACAATGAAAATACCTACCTTTGCAATAAAATCTTGCTTGGAACAATAGATAAAAGACATTCATTCTACCCATTTTTCGACTTCAAAGGTTCTTACCTCGTACATTAACATTTAAAATTTTACACCTACTTGTTCCCTTTTTTTAAATTGTTTTAGTGTTTTATCGTTTGGCCCATTCCGTCAACTTGTTTTGATATTTACAGCCAAACAGGGCGACTTTTTAAAATGTGAGATATTTAAAAAATATCACAAACGAAGTCACATCTGGTGTTTTAACAAAACCAATTTTCTTCTGAAAATGACCATTTTTATTGGCCCAAAGAGAGCCGTTGGTCATTGAAAAGAAGATCATAAACTGATGCAAATGAACAAGAGATGGCTCCCGAATGACACATAAAGAGAGAAGCCGTTGGGTATCAGCAAAAAAAAAGGTGTACCTGAAGTGTGTTGAAAGAGCCTGGAAAAATGTTTAGACTTGTAAAGACAAGTGAAGATGAGAGAAAGAAAGCAAATATGGCGGATAAATGTTATAAAGGTGGGAATGTAAAAAGAATTTCAAACTATTTTGTGACAATCCTTTTCGCCTAGTAGAGATGCAATTTACTTGATAAGCTCAGGATATGTCAAGAGTAAATGACACTTCATTTTAAACCAAATTTGCTTTGTAAACGTAATCAGCTATATAATTATACATATGAAAATGTGCATGTGTACACAAAATAGTTCTGATACTTAAAAGATTTTATGTACGCACATAATTGTTTATGCTTATTTATTATGTGTAGTATAATACGTGACAATGGTACTCTAATAGTTTACTTTTAATGATCGAACTGAGAACATCAGCGAATTGCTTTGTGAGATGAGATTACTAAGCACCGCACTATGGTATGCGCCCAGAAAACAATAAATGTAAAGTCAACATATTTGAAGTAATGATTACAAAGATGGTATCGCAACTAATTATTCTTCATTTCGATCCCCACGGGGTGCCGTATATGTCATAAGTAAATTTAATAAACAATTAACGATCCTAATTTAATCAAATACAGAGAAGCATAAAATAAGCCACACTTGAGTACCAAAGCCACTGATTCTTTCATTAAATGACAAATGTGTTAAACATCATTCTCGCCCTGATGTCTTGAGATGATTAATCACGTTTGTTACACTTTCTGGACTGCGGAACTGAAAATCTGAAAGAGAGATTTGCATCCATATTAACGACGTGGCCCAGATTGACAAGAGGCTCTTGTGCTCGTTTTTTTTTATTGGCTTTTCGAACACCAAGACATAGAGTTGTAAGGGCTGCACCTTCCCTCAAAAGGAACATTCAGCCACTATATCTGAGCTGAAGAGATTGAAACTCATTGCAAAAATTGTAGATTGTTTTGTGAGTTTTTTTTATAGCTAAGTTTTTGGTTCGAATAAATTGCTCAAGAACTCCCGTCCTTTGTTCCCGTTCGACAACTTCCATTTTTCCCAGCACGTTATTATTTCCATTAAAAAAAAATCAAACTCCAATGTATTAATATGATAGAGCATCAGTTCACAGAGTTGATTGTCTAGTGCTATAAGAAATAAGGATAATAGGATTCCAAACAAAGAATTTTCTATGATGATCACATGCAGTTTTTGTGGTTTTGTTGTTTCCCTTATCGACTAAAGAATACAGAAATAAAAAAAACTCAGTAAATTTAAGAGGCAATAACATTCATATTTATCTCCATTATTTACCTTGTTCGAACTGTTGTCCTCATCTTCATTGATATATTCATGACGTTTAGGCCGTTGTACGCTTTAGACTTCTTCAAATCATTGAAATTTCGAATTGAACCCTTTTATTCGTTCACTGGGGTATAATATCCTACAACCACGTGCCATGCCTCTTCCTGATGTATCACGTATCTTTCACTGAGCCATAGTTCCTTGATGGCACATGGCCCAGTGGATAAAAGTGTTGGTTGGTTCTAGTGACTTGCCCCAAACAGTTGTTAGTTCAATACCTGGCTACGGCAGTGGTGAACAAAAAAAAACTGGAGAGGGGAATTAAAGAGAGAGGGGAGAAACCTGGACGAGGCATGGCACGTGAAACTAGAAAATTCTACCGCTAGACGAAATAAAGGGTTCAGTTCGAAATTCGAAAAAAGGTCGGAGCGTATAACGGCCGAAACGTTTTGAATATGACAATAAAGATGAGAACAACAGTCCGAACAATGGAAATACTGTAAATAATTACAATACCTCATCTCAGAAATGCAGACAGATATTAAAATTCAAATATCTGAATATGCGTGTTTGCATGTGTGCGTGTGTGTGTGTTTGTATATGTGTATGTGTATACTTCAGCTTATAAGAGAATCAAACTATTGATTTCGTATATATATTTTTCCACTAAGCCATTCTGTAAACTTACTTTTGTTCAGTGCCGTTCAATTTCGTAAGAGTAAACCGTAATTGCAATAACACGTGTAATCCAGATATTTTTGTGTGAAGTCATATCGAAAAAATATCGCGCTAAATATTCATCACCTGCCTTAACTAGTATACTCGATATTCTCTAGCAAAGAAATCTCAGAAGTGGTTACCATATACATATATATTTACTTGTAATTTTGTTTACGTTGGCTTTGCTCTCGGAAGTTCAGTTCTTTGCGTTTTCCGTTTCCGTTTCGGTGAATTAACGATAATTTCAGGCAAAATTCTTTGATGTCTACCAAAACTAGAAAATTCCCTTTCTTTAAGAACAAGTAAAAATTGTATAAGAAACACGAGAGTCGTACATTCAAAGTCAGCGAAGAAGAAATTATTCAAGACAAGAAACCACAAATGAAGCCCATTTTAGAAATACACACAATACTGATTCCCAGTTTTCGTTTATTAAATATTAGAATGCGTAAAAAGTTTAAGAATTCTTTTGGTTGCTCTATTCGAGAATTGACAGATATTGTCAAATGTTTAATCAGAACATTAACCTTCAACTTGTTAACATCTAAAAGAATTTAAAATTAATAAAATAATCTTGGATTTTGAATTAAAGTAAATATATTTGAAGGTTAGTTTTATATATCCACAAACGCATGATAGATAGATAGATAGATAGATAGATAAGAAGGATGATTTGGGGAAACTTTATTATATTTTAATTATATCTACATTAGCTAAACATATCGTAATTCACGTTAATGTGAAGATTAGAGTTATTTTCTTAGTTGCCGATTTAACTGCACTGTCTTTTTAATTAAATTTTATTAATTTAGACTCAGTTTTTATTCATATAATAATTTGTTTTAAGATTTTCGTATTCCACATTACTTCAGCTCCAGTTTATTAAGACAACTGATAATAAAACTTTTCAAAATTATCTTATATATTTATTACTGCATTGCATTCTCATTCAAATTTAGATAGATAGATAGATAGATAGATAGATAGATAGATAGATAGATAGATAGATAAAATACTTTTAAAAAGCCTTTATTTTACAAAACGATAATCACTTCCTTGGATCACCTCGCCGTGGTGTAATGGTTAGCAATTTTGTCTCGCTAGACTAATTACGACTGAGTAATTAGTTCGGTCCTCACTAGGTGCGCCATAATTTTGGCATTGCCAAGGAAGGTGTTTATGGTGATTTTCTAAGCTATGCTTAGAAAATCACTATAAACACCTTCCTTGACAATGCTCTTGATCCAATCTGTCTCATATGAGACCGAAATTTAACTTTATGGTAACTTTCTGAATGTTGCAATAACACTTTAGTCATGTTTTATTTCTGTTAATTTCTGAGCCGATATCAAAACTTTACCCTGTTTAGGTCATGGAGTATTTCTTTTAATTCCTCTGCTGATACAGATATTAGTAAAAGGTCTTCAGAATTTACTGCATATTTTAAATGGTGTCTGTTTCTTTACATCCAATCATTTTTAGTTTATTTTCCAGAAGATAACTTCACGGCCTGCTGCAAACATCATGCCTCATTCTTTTTCTAATGTTTATTTTGTCGATGTTTTTGTGTAGTAGAATTATTGCAGCACTGACAGTGCCTCAGTTTTCATTAATGTCCGACTCACATCGGGGATTAAAGACTCCAGGGTGCTAAAAGTGTTAATTTTTCAATGTCTTGTTTGCAGAATTCTGTTTTTAGCTAGTCATTTCTACGGATTACCTTTTTGCAGTGGTGTCTTGCATCTTGAAATTTTTTTTAGAATAAAGTACTTGCGAAAGTAATTTGTATACATACGATAGTAAAGTGGGATCTTGAAGATAATTATAAAGTTTTTTTTTTATTATTTCCCTTTTTATAAATTAAACTTCTTACTCAACCCATAGCTAGGAGAGAAGAGATGGATTTATAACATTCCCAGTGAAATTCGAACTCGGCTCTCCAAGTTCACATTCCGAGTCGATATCCAGTACACCACAACATACACCTAGGGATTTCTGTTTATCTATATATATATAGCTGGTCAGATCGCGTATGTTTCAAGCCAGTCACGTTGATACAAGAGTTTTCTAGTTTTTTCAGATACCTAAATATTTGTCGTGCAAAATTTTCTCTTTTTCTTGATTAGTTTGCTTCTGCATTTCAAGTTTACAGTTTCTTAGTATTTGTGACTCTTCTTTTTTATCATTGGTTGACTTGGAGTAGTTTGCTTTTCTCTTGCTATTTCCATTGATTTCTGGCATATGCCGACTAATTCCATCGAAGATAAAATGTTACTCACTTGGCAATAGTTTTCACATTTTCTATTTTAATTTCTCATTCCACAAAGTCCGAGATCTGTACTTGATTTTGACCTAAAATTTGGTACTATTTTATTTGATCCTATTAAACTAGAATGACTTTTTAAGAATCATTTTATTTCTCTCCATTTTAAAAACAGTATCATGGCTTAGGACACATCACGCTGAAATGTCAATTCCCGTACGATCATCGAAGTTAAGCAACGTCGAGTCGGATCAGTACCGAGATGGGTGACCGTTTAGGAATACCAGGTGGTGTAAGTTTGGATATCCAGGTGATGTAATAAATAATAGTTCTGAATTGTTAATCTAATTTCCGTTAGGTTCGCTATATTCATTTGTGCTCAAATATCTTCTCCCCTAAGCTAGGGGTTAATTAGTAAGGTTTTATCACTAAACCGTTATTATCCTTAATAAAAAAATTTCTTGCATTCTAAAATATATTCTGGCTTTGAATAACCTGAAATGGGTTGAACAACCGTAGAAAAAGAAACAATAACTTTCAGAATGAAACCTTTGGGTTAATGATCACTTCCTCTATTAACTTTAACGGCAAACGCTTCGTCAGTAATTAAAAGTTCACTTTTTTTTTGTTTCTATAGTTAGCTTTTACCGCGTTCATTTACATCAATTTCGCTTATGCATAAATATATTCATAACTGTCATTTTTCGTTTGTTTTAAAAGGTAACTAGCATTTGTCATCTCTCATTCTCTTCGCAAATCCAAATTTTCTTGTATTTGTTTCTACCTTGTCTCGACCTTTCCATCAAATTCGCCCATCAACATTTTCGTCTCGTTCCATCTGCAGCTCTATTAATATCGACGTAAAAATTTCCAGCTTCCTTATTAGCAGCATTTGATGTCTGCGCATATACTTGAGTTATTTTTAGACAGTATCTTTTTCATCATCTAATTAACGTCCAAGCCTTTCTCTCAGAACTACCGTGGAAACTTTCAATGTTGCAAGTAACGTCACTCGTTTTGAAGATCCTACGCCACTAAATTTATTATTCTCTCTTCCTTGATAAGAAAGTACATGGTAACTTACTTTCAACTTAAATTATTTCCTTTCCTGTGAATTTCGCTAATAGGGCTACATGCAAAGGGATTTTCAGTTCCATCATTAGATAGTACAATCTGTATACTTCAGTTGTATTTTCAGCTTCAAATCTCGATATCTTTATGTCCTTGTATTTGGTTAAGTCATCGTCATGCAGTGTTAAGTTGAGACATTGTTTTTCTCCATCGGTCACACAATTCCCGGAGTAACGTGAGGCAAGGCGATTGGACACTTTACAGCCGATGACTCAATAGGAACTTTACAGTATATAGTTAGTTACGTTGTCCCTTGAAATTTTAGGGTGATACTGCCTAACTTACCCTCTCTCGATTCTACTAATTTCTGGTGTGCTTGATGAATAGATTATTACTGATTTCATCGTCCCATAGAACAGTTATATCTCTTCTCAGTGAGTTTCAACGTTAGTGTGGGAAACATCGAAAAGTATTGAATTATATAGCCAACATACGATGTCATAACTTATAGAGACGTGTGCAAATGCTAGCCGCTGCGGTAGACTGCAGAAACTGTTGCTGGAGGTCATAGTGTAATATGTAATTAGCGGAGGGTTATGAGAGGAATTTACAAATATGACAGCTAAAATTACGAGGGACCAAACAATCTTATCAAGAGAGAATATATAGCGAATATTAAAATATTGAAATGAAATGTGTTTAATATCCTTGTTGTATAACGGATTCTTCAGATAATTTGAAAACAGGGAAGACAGGCGATTTTTTAACTTCATTTTCTGTGTGATTTAACCGCTCCAGCATTTTCCATTGACAACTTTAAATATTTATTTACACTATATACGGACAATTGTCCTCATCTTTGTTGTTTTTATTACAACGTTTTATGCACAACAGGTATATAGGGATATGGGGATCGACAAGTAATTCCGAACTTAACACTTTAATTAACCCTCGTTCCACTGCGCGTGTCTAGAGATATCTAGTCTAGTTCTTATTTAATACTGTTCAGTTATTGCTCGCCTATTTCCACTGAGTGTAAGTACACACTGCCCGACACAGTCACAAGCACTATGTCAACAAATTCACAAACCAAATATTTTACCCACTAGTCTATGGTTGCTTACGAGCCTCATTCCAGAAATGCAGACAAAATCACTTGAAATACAATTATAAGTTTTAATTTTGTAATGGTCTAGCCAAGTAATTTGGTATATTTAGTGTGTGAGTTTCAGAAAGAGAATTTTGATGGCGTGGGAAATACTCCTAAAGAAGATTATATATTATCCGATTAAAACCAATTCCAACAGTTAGTTAATTTCAACAACATGATAAGGAGATCAGTTTCAGGTCATATTCGTAGCATAACATTACTCGCATATCAGCATCTGGGATACTAAATTCTATCAAATAAGACAAAAAATGCGCAAATTTCTTCCCTGTGAGATGGTAGTGTTTCAGAGAGATATGAGTCCTTGGTATTACGATAATCTACATCCGAGAGCAAGCCTTGTTATCGGAAGCTTGGAGGTTTTGAGGAGCGTGGAACCATCTCTTAGTTGCTACTAGATCTACCCTTACCCTGGATGGAAGCACCCGTTAGGGTCCCAGCTATGGGCAAATAGTGAACGACCAAAAAACATTTTTATAAATAAATATACTAGCAATACATTTTTATTTTAAGATAATAACCAGTAATAAATTTGAATAGAAGAATGGCAAGCAATACAACACTACAGTATAAAAATACATTTCTAAAAAATTACCAATAAATTTTACATCTATAATATATATATATATATATATATATATATATATATATATATATATATATAAGAACATAGAAGTGAACACTTAGAGGCGACAGATTTTTCATGCTAGACGCAATCGTCAGGCCACGAGTGCTGTTAATAACAGCACTCGTGGCTTATAGGTTTGAGGTGAAAGTCTAGAATAATGCACAAAATATCTGTTGTTGAAGGCATAAAATATTTAGATTTCGATATTAATTAACCAATTAACCAATTAACAATTAAACCGTAGAAGATGATATGCTGAAAACAATCAAACAGGCAGGTATGAAATGTTTTGAATCAGCTACTTAAAGCGAAATCAAAACTTATAATTCCTGTTTCCACAGGTCCCATCGAAACATTATTTCCAAAGATTAGTTTATTTTGTATTTTGTTTCTTTTTTGTTTTTGTGGGGGTAGTTTTTCCCCCGTTCGAAAGCAAATTCTATAAGGCAAGTCATATCTCGTCATATTTTACAAACTAATAAACAGGATATCCGTGTGTTGTGGTGTTTATCGGCAACCGAGAGGTACAGGCTACCAGAATTTAAATTCGATTCTAACAGGTTGCGTTCCCTATTGTAAAAATATTAATCTATCTCTACTTTCCAATTGGCTGCAATTGACGGAGAAGAATTCGGAACTGCGAATAAGGCAACGGGCAACTTCTTAATTATGTTATCCAAGAAGTCGTGGAAATTGAAAAGATTATATTGAATCATTTGCTAGCTCTGCTGCCAAGAAATTTCATTCATTCTATCGTGTTAGACATTATTTTCTCGCCAGGATCTATCTTTCACATTTACAAGTCTACCCTTCGTTCATGTTTCGAAGTCATATATATATATTAAAATAATTGTCGGAATTAGTCCATTTTCATTATATATATATATATATATATATATATATATATATATATATATATATATATGTTTGTGTGTGTGTGCGTGTGTGTGCATTTAGGCAGCAATTCTTCTTTCATGCACATTTCATTGAATACGTTTTTAGTTTTTTATACAATTTCTCATGCGATCTATTTTCTTTTCGGCTGATAAATTATGATAAAACTGTCCGAATGTTCTTTTTATCCGAGCGCTTTCGGCTATACATTTAGCCATTTTCAAGGATTAAATGTTTTAACTGAAATTTTAAGAAATAATTACAGCTTCCCCCTCTCTCTCTCCCTCTCCCTCCCTCTCTCTCTCTCTCTCTCTCTCTCTCTCTCTCTCAGATGCGGCGTACACGGTATTCTGAACATTCGTCATCAGAACGACATCTCAGTTACTATTTCTTTCCCTTGTAGGCGATTAAACGTTACAAGATTCTTCTCTTTAAATCAAAAAGTATTTTTGATCCCTGAATACTTTCTTAGCTTCTGAAGAGCATATTTTACTGTGTGTCTTTGAATTTCGATGTCCAAAATCCGTGATATGTTATTGAAGTACCCAAATAAGTAAATTTCTGTATCTACTTAATTTTGACGTTCCCGGTGTGTAACACGCACATTAGGTTGTCTTTTTTGTTGACAACCACTAATTCTGTCTTCTTTTAAGTAATGGTTGGTAAATTCTATTTGGTTTCCCTCACTATAGTGTCTAATATTCTTTTCCGTTTTCTTTCTGAATCTACTATCAACACGACGCCCTCTCGGTAGCGTATGTTGTTAAGATTACGTCTTCTGATAATAAAATCTGGTAATCTTCTCACTTTCTGAGAATCATCTCGTTATACAGGTTAAATAAGTCCCATGAGAAACTACACTATTGTTATTATCCGCTTTCTATTTTTGCATATGCACTTCATTCTATCTCCATCTGTTAACCTCGACTGAGAACTGGGAAAGTTCTCCGTATCAAGACTGCAAAATTATGTTAAGACAAGATGAATGCTGGTCAAGTAAATAGTGACTCCTGTAGGCTATGCCAGGAGAGTAAGTTGGGCATTGCAAAATGTAGGTACATGAGGAAGTTGACTTTGGGACTATACGAAACAGAGTAATGTTAGAAAAACAATTATATTTCCACTCCATCTCCTCTTCATTATTTCCGGTGCCATATTAAGAAATTGTAATCCTTGTGATGCTGTCTATAATGATTTCGCTTTGTTAACCACCTGATGAGACCTTGGTGATTGAAACTGCGGTAGTGTTCCGTTAAGCGTTTGATTATTTTAGAATATTAAGTACTTCTACAGGTTTGATTTTTCTAGCTTGATATTAAGGACTTTTTAACACATACAGTTTTAAACAACTATTTTAGTGTTTATTTAATTCGTTATATATATATGTGTGTGTGTGTGTGCATGTGTGTGTGCTGTGTGTGTGTGCGCGCGTGTGTGTGTATGTTCGTGTGAACTATTTTACTATTTTATTGTATTACAAATAATTAACAATTATATTATATATAATGGACTCCCGTCCTTATCGGCGTATGAGGATCTGACAGCTTATTTGATTCAGTTATGAAATTTTGTGCGATAATCTTAATTGGCACTTAAGACCCGCTAGTGATTTACAAAGAAGACCGCATATGGAGCAAGTGTAAGGATTGTGGGATGAGATCACTGTTAGATTGGCTGACCTTCTAAATCTTGCTCTCGCTTCTAAAAGAGGGTTAAAACAAGCTGATTGAAAACTGCTGTCCACTAAAACACGTTGATCTCCATTCTACCCGCTCCAAGGCTAAGCGATCGTGGGTGTTATGAGGTATATTGACAGCTGACAAGTTGCTCTTCAGCTTGTCTTTCTATTTTAGCCATGAGCGTCCTATATTCCTCTAGCCCTGATCTAACAGGCTATACATTAGGATCTTGGGTATCCTGTCATCAGACATTCTCAAGACATGACAAGTCCATCGTAACTGAGACTACATGAGGAAAGTCTCGATTCCTCCATAAGATCATTCATATATATATATATATATATATATATATATATATATATATATATATTTTTATGGACATAGATTGCCTAAAGATTGCGCTCAAGTATGAAATAGACAGTCGCCATTCTGTTTTGAAATCAGTTTATAGTTATATACACACTAGCTCGGATTGGGAGTACTTTTACCTTATAAATATAACATACCTTACATATATTATCGGTATACTTATATACTTATATTTTATCATATATATATAAATATATATATATATGTGTGTGTGTGCATGAGGGAGGGAGAGAAAGAGAAAATGTGTGTGTTAGTATGTGTCTGTTTAAATAAGAAGGAAATAGGCTAAACTTAATTAATAACCCTTTATTAACTGTTAAGAATTGTTGATCTAGAGACTGAAAGGAGGGGTATGTTTCGGTCTTTCTATTTCTATGCTATTTGTTTTTCATTGGCTGATCACATGTCCATATTTTGTGGCGTTAGTCTTTATGTGTGTGCGTCTGAATTAGAATTTGAAATACTGAAACCTTCTCAGCATTTCCAAAAAGAATTTCGGATGTAGCTTCATTAAAATTAGTCAAACATAGAAAATTTAGAATGCTCATTCTTTTTTTCTTTACTTAATCATTCTGCCTAATTTAAACCATATTTTTTCAATTCATAGATAAGCATATTTACTGACTTAAAATATGCTCAAGGTGTTGCTACTTTTCCAGAGAATCAATGCGTAGTGCCTGTACGCTTTTAAAAAGTGTTACACACAAATCAATGAGAATTGGATAATTTTTCGCGCGCGCGTGTGTGTGTGTGTGTGAGTTTTGTTGCTTTAGTTTTAGTATGCACTTGATTCAAGCAAAACTATCGAGCGGCGTCACGAAGGAGACATGAAATCGATCCTCCCATATCATGTGGGTGATCATAAAACATGGACGAAAGATGAATAAAAAAAAATGGAGCTCTAAGCGGCAATTAATCTGACTCTAATGTTTTTAGTGAGAGATTATATTAGCTATGAATAATAGGAACTGTACTGAAAAAAAAGTAGGCTTCGGACTGTAGTCATCATACATCCATCGCTGTATGAAGCGAAATTAAATTATAAATATATTTTATTTATTTAGTTTCGATACTTTGACTTTAAATATGAAAAATATTTCGAATCCGGTGTTTATGTTTCTGGGGAAGATGTGTCAGAGAGATAAGCTCTCTATGAATAAATTAAAATGGAAAAGAGACAGCGTTTAACCACTTGGTTTTGTCATGGTATGACCCCTTAGTTGTATCGATTCAATGTCTTCATCATTTACTTTGCATTGAATCTGTCCGATTCACTGTTAATCTCAGGTCAAATCCACTTTGCGAGATATCTCGTCAGCCGTTGCCCTGAGATTAGAATTTTAGTCTTAGTAGCATTTGCTAAAAGGTGCCACTTCAGCGTACTATCTGCTTTTCTTCCTGAGTAACCGGTGCCTTACGCTCGAAAATATAGAAAAAAATCACTGCTAAAATGATATTTTCGCTTTATTTTTATTCTTTCACTTCAAGTAAGGCAATAAAGCCAGTAAGGATGAAATAATTCGAGAGAAAAAAAAACGTTAAAAAGTGAAGACAAAAAAAGAAGATGAAGCAAACAGAAACTGACGATTTAAATTTTTGAAGGTCAACTTTGACTGTAAAGCGAGATGCCCCAGAAGAGAGTTCCACAAGTCGAGAAGTAAGCTATTAAATGAAGAAAAGAATAATAACACACAAGACACATTTGTTTCTTTGTTTGAGTTTTCATATCACAACATTCTTCCCTTCTTCCTTTCATCCGCTTTTCTTTTCGTTTTTCTTTAGTTTTCTTACTTACCCTCAACCTTTCCCTTCCTTCACACCTTCTCTTCCTTACTTATCCCAATTCTGTTGCCGTCGAAATTCACTGGTTGTTTGGTTATTGTTTTGTTTTATGGCATATCAACCGCAGTGGGTCATTTAATGCCAACAAAATTTTGAAATAGATTCATAGCGATAGTTTGGTAAAAAAAAAAAAAAAGTGTGTATGTATGCATATATATTTAAACCATTTTTTTTTATTACAAAGTATTTCTGGTATTAAAACCTATTTTTACACAAGTATGAATGTTAACTATTTGCCCATTGCTGGGACCCTAACAGGTGCTACCGCCCCGGGCCAGGGTTCACCTGGGAACACCAGCAAATAAGAGGTGGTCCCACGCTCCTCAAAACCTGATCAGAGGCCTTGCTGTTGGACGTAGCTTATTGTCTTACCCTGGACGCAGATGTAGTTTATCGTCATACCCAGGACGGACGAAATTCACTGATAGTCAGTTGATGGCTGCATTGTGAGTAGGTGCGCGTGTGTGTGTACGTGTGTATCCTTTCTATGAGAAAAACACTACATTCTGTTTCTTGGCAGTATCCTCGGGACAGACACACAGAGAATCTGATCAACGTCAGGAGTACCGATCTTGACTTATTTTTAATTAGTTTCACAGAGGAAGAAGATACATGTGGAATAGAAATATTGTTCTACTGGAGGATACTGAGAATACAATGAACGGATATCTGAGCAACGATGAAGTTTTTAAAATAAAAACAAAAATTACATTTATGCTTAATATCAGGAGGAAATGGATGAAATTTCTAGAGCACCTAATGAGGAAAAACGGTTTAGAAAATTTGATACTCACAGGACAGATAGAATACCAAAAGGACAGAGGTAAATAAAATATAATCTACCTACTGAGGTTTTGTAAATGGGTGGCGGTGCAAGGTTTAGGAGACATAGCAAAAAGACAAAATGTATTAAGAGCTACAAAGGACAGGAAATTGTGGAGAGCCATGATTATCAATATCCTCAGGTTACACAGCAGATAGGAGGAGGTATTTATTGTAGAAGAGTTCTCAGTTTCCGGTATTGAGGGTTCATAGATAAATTTTTATTTCTTTAGATATTGTCGGCGCGCCTGAGAGGGGGGAGAATTTTGATTAAACACGACGCTACAATTATCTCTCAATATTAACGAATGTTTCCTAGAGATATAGACAATGTAAACATGGGAATAAACACGAGTTGATTTCTGTCAGTTTGATGCCAAAGTTCGATCTTCATGCGCAGAAGTACTGATAAAAAAAGATGAATGAGATGCGTGATATGAAAAGAGGAAATGGTTGGAAGTGAAGATTATGGGAATGAAGAGGATAATTAGCGACTAATCTTTGCTTGATTAGATTATGATTATCTTGTTCAAGGAAGCACACACGCGGCTGTCTGTTTCACAGAGCAGCATTTTTAAAATAGCTGAGTGGAATATGGGAGAAATAAGGGTGATTCGACTGCGTGGAAGTAGCATGGTGTATCCTATCTATAAAGGTCTGAACTAGTGGAACTAAAAAGAGTAGAGAATAAATTGTCCCCTACAAGAACACATAAACGAAAATGAATTCTATCATGGTTAGAAAGTGGGAATAGGTTGGGTAACTCCAACCTTTTGCACTGGTTTAGATAATTCTGTAGTAATTATCCGGTGAAATGTGGAATTATGACTATTGCGACATGAGATCTGTAAATTTATCAACGGTTCCTGACACTGTACGGAAATGGGAAGTACTTTTGCAAAGTGACACAAGATTGTGTTAATCAAGACGAATTAATGTATGACTGTAACAAATAGAAACCTAATGATTTGTAATTACTATCAGTAGCAAAGAAGCAATTATTGGCTCTAATTAATTTCTCATTAATTACTGAAAGAATAAAAAAATATTAAACATTTCAAATATTTCAGAGAAAAAATAAATGAAAACCAATTCACAATAACTACATGCCTCCATCTTCCATTTTAAATATGATAAACAAAAATTAATGAAAAAAAATCGTAATCATTAAAAATCAAAAATGGAATCGTTACAAAAAATAGAATCGTTACTGTACGCGAGAGAAATGTTTTGAAGCGATTTCAGTTGGTCATAGTTTCATGACCAGCCATAATTACCAGTGTTTTGTATTTCTAACTTTCTCTTAATAAAATAATAAAATTATCAAGAATCGAAAGATATCCAGACACAATTTACAGATAAGGTCATCTGTCCATCCCTACTTAATGTTCCGTATTTCTAAATGTCGCCGTCGGATAAATTTAAAACTTAAAGCCGCAATATAAACTTTCTGTATTATAAAATGTCATTTTATATTGACTGGATGAGTACAGAAGATTTAGGTCATCAATTATTTCTGCAAGAAACTTTTTCTATTTTTTTCTTTTTTTTTCTCGAGGGAAAGGAACACAAGAATCGGATGTAAATCCATTTACATTTGAAAAAAAAAAGAAAATATTTATTGATGAATAACGGGAAAATGAGAAGATATCGAGGGGCATCGTAGGGACGTGATGAACTGACACGGATATATTGATTCGTGTAAGGTTTCAGATTTATCACTTATCAACCAGCAAAAAAAAAAAGAATTTAGAGTCTTTCTCACTCTCACACACATAGAGACACACGCGCACACACACACACACACACACACACACACATGCACTATACAACAATACGCGCACGCACTTGCACACACGCGCACACGCACTCATAGACACACATGTATATCAGTATGTATCCCTGTGTGTGTATGTTTACGTGTCTATCTGTGTGTGTGTATGTGGGGGGGTGTAAACCGGCTTCATGCCTTGGAGAATTGCCCGGTTCTCATGGGTAACAATAAAAGTAAACATTTCAAATAAGAGTTTTCATTTCAGACAATATTTTTATTTTCATGTCATAAATTTTGGCCTTGTGCCTTACTTTAAGATAGATAGATAGATAGATAGATAGATAGATAGATAGATAGATAGATAGATATGAACAAACTGAGAGACAGATAGAATGATATTAACAGATAGATAGATAGAAAGAAAGAAAGAAAGAAAGAAAGAAAGAAAGAAAGAAGGAAGGAAGGAATGGTGGGAATAAACATCAGTTCTCACTGATATGTTTTTAATTTCTGTCGAACGACATAAAATAAATACACAAGAGAAAAGGTAATGCTATAAGCTCAATATTTGTTGTCGGAAATTAATTTCGTTTTCATTATGATTTTGTTATCATCGATCCATCCATATATCCTCAACCCCATTTTGAAAGGTTTCCACATTTTAACCGGCATTTTTCATCATAACGACTTTCCTTATCTATGCACTTAATCTACGAGGAAATATTAATCACATCAAACATATTTCCATTCGTATTCTCTTGGTGAGATGCAATCGCCAATCGAGCAACTTCTCCCCAAGAAACCACTACTTTGTAGAACCACATCCCAAGTGAACAATTTCCTGATCACTACAAGTATAGACCCAAGTATAGGCTCAACCATTTAATCCCCATCGAATGTACCCTTTACTCAGTAAATCTCTATCTCGAATGAATTTTGAGTCTTGAACAGGATGAACAAAATTGTAAAAAAAAATTATAAAGTTCATATTTCAGATCAAAATTCATATATATTACATAAATCCAAATCATGGTTAGACTCGTTATGGTCATCAAATAATGCTTTGAATGTGTTATTTTATAAAAGAACCCTTTTGTATTCATATAATCTTTTATTTAAATTTCTTGAGGTTTCTCCTATGAATTCCTTGTTGCAATTATTACAGATGAGAGAAAAGTACCTCCTTTCAAAATAGTCCTGACAAATTCTTTTTAACCCTCGGAATCTTTCATCCTTCCAAACTTTTGATAATGATTTTCTTACAAACTTTGCTTTACATATCGGACACCATTGGGAGGTTTCGAACTCGATTCATGTTCTTAAATAAACTTCGTCGTCGGATCTCATGCTTGAATCCTTACAACAGCAACATCAACTAAAATAGCACGATGAGAAAATAATGACGTAATCAAGGTGTTCACATTACCTTAAACAAAATCCCTATCAGTATGAGAAAGAGCAATAACAGTTAGTGGACTTTTGTGGACCTATTTTCAGTCTTTTGAATACCGAACATTTCCAAATAAGGAAATTTCCATCTCATCATTAGCATTCAACCAATCATCCTCTCAATCTGTTATTTTCATATGACAAGAAAAGCTGTCGGCATTTTGAATATTGGCGTAACACAGTCTTCTTATTCCTAATTATCCCCAACTACTGAGATGTAAAGCATTTTTGAAATCGAAAGTTTCGTTCTGATGAAATCAAATTCTTAATTCTCGGCATCTTTATTGCGAATATGAGTGAATTTGAACCTGAGCCTTTTCGTCAGTACAACTTGTGAATTTGTTGTGTCAAATGTTAATACGTAATTAACAACAATAAATTCAAATTAAAAGGGGAAAGGTGTTTCGCAATTTGTAATAAAGAGTCTCTGGAATAAATGCTTCATTTACGATGTTCTTAAGGCAAATTAAGCAAAATTCATTTCATTTTGCATTGGTTAACAATTATAGTTTTATCCTAAGGCAAAATTATTCAAATGTTTTCAATTAATTGATGTCATGCAGTAATCTGTCGCACAGAGACACATATTTAGATCTTTTCACTTTAACATAAATTAATGAAACATACACACACGCACTCACATATATAAGTGTGTGTGTGTATATGGGTGTATAAGTGAATATGTGTACATACTCACAAATCAGTATAAACCGATTTATGTATCTGTGTTTTCTGGGTGATAAGGTTTAAATGCATTAAATGTTTTTTCTTGTTTTTCCTCCAGCATTTCCAGAATCTACAACAATTACAGATAAAACCTCCCTTTTAGAGCACTAAGCTGAGATGCTGCAGGCCTTAGATGTGAGACAACGGAAAGGGGATAGTTAACAATAACGCACTAAAAGGAAAAATATATATTTATTTTGATTTTGATTTTATGTGATTAAAGAAATTTTCATTTAGAGAAAAATAAACGATTGAAGAATCAGTGATTTTCTCAATTAAAAATGTACTTAAATAACGATGTCAAATTTTTTTAAAATTAAATTCTGCTTCATTTGGTCAATTTCAGATTGATCTGATTATTTACAGCTTAGCAACCTTTAAGAGTTATTTGAAGCCGGAACATAATTCAGAATGTAGAAGGTTGCTTAAAATACCCGGTATTCGTCAGTGTTCCCCTGTCAAAATAGAGATGGAAACCGGTGATTTCAGCAATTTAATTATTAGCATTAAGCGTATTACATATTAATTAATTATTTATACTTTGAAGTGTGGGGGTGTAATGGATTGAGTCTCGAAATTAGAGATCAGACAATTCGAAACCAAAGAAAATTAGAAAGTCATTGAAGTCGAGATGCCAGGTCAGGATAGATTATATTACAGACTCTTCTTTGGATTTTGTCAAGAATCTCGATATATACAACAGGAACACCAGACCAGATATGGCAACAATATTCAATGCACGGATGAATGGTAGATTTATAAATGAGAAAGATGGATTCTGGCAAGACACATTTTCTGGCACGACACAGTGGCCCAACTTACCTAGCAGTAGCCATAGTAATTGATTCAATATAGTCGCTCCATGTCATTGGAAAAAAAATTATCCCCAAAAGACTTAGAACGTTCTGTCCTGGCGTCTAGTATCAGCCATGACGATGACTGAAAATGAAAGTAGTTTTGGTTTGGAGGCGTTAAAATTTACAAGCCATACGTTGCCCCCTTTAACCACTAATTGGAACATCTTTTTGAGAGCAGCTGCCAGTTCTACTTTGCCAGATATGTCGGACTTGCTATTAAGAAAGGGATAAATGGTGGTGTCATCTGAATAAATACATAGTTGGCAACTGATGACATCTGTGAGGTCATTGATGAAGATCAGAAACAGCATAAGTTCAAGGAAATATCCCTGACGAAAATCCGCGTTGATATGAAATGATCTGCAAGCGTTACTGCTCAACACGGTATTCATTACATGATTTTTTGGGTACGATTAGATTAGCCCTTGAGCTTGGAGAAAAGGCCAGCATGACAAACTCTATAGAACTCCTTTGAGATATTTAGGGCCACAGCCCGAGTTTCGTCATTCTTATCTAAAGATGGATAGACAAATTCCGTGATGGCCGTTAACTCATCGGCGGTAGATTCGCCGAAACGGAAGCTATATTGTTTTCCCGAAAAGAAGTCGTGCGAAGAAAGATGCTCAAACAACTCGGTCTTTATTAGCGCGTCGAGTACTTTGTCAAAAAGAGGTAAGAGACTAGTAAGGCAAATAATTTAAGGGGTCAGAGGGTTCTGCGGAGTTCTTAAAAGCAGGACCTACAGAGGAGGACTTCCAACAAGTTGGAAAGAAAGAAGAAGTGGAAGAGTAGTTTCAAACAAAGCACTCAGCTTTATCTGCACTAGATGGTAATGTTTCAAATTGATTGAAAAAAGAAGGGACTGCGGATTTGCTATTATTTAGCACTCACTTGCAAAGCCGCAAGTAACCTCTAGAACCAAACTTGTGATAATCTATACAGTGTCTTGTTTCGTTCCGCAAATAATGACTTTGCTTTCTGAGAATCCGCTGACGATGTTACAATCAGATCTGTCGCTCTAGTACAGCCGAAAGAAGTGATTCCTGTGGGTAATAATTGCTGAACAGGCAGGTGAGAACTAAGGAGCAAATAATATTTGTTGTTTTGATTGCTATTTCCGTGAAGAAAAGAAAACTTTGACGCCGGCTTTTAACCAGAAAGAGACCTCAGTGGCACATTTCCCAGCAGGATGATTAACATTATCATTCCAAAAAGACATTTCAAATAGCTTCGTTTAATCTGTCCTAAATCTCGACAATTAAAACAACTTGATATTAGAAGAAAGTTATTTGCAATGGCTTACAGGATCAACGAATTACCTGTCAGATTTTGATAAATATATTAATATATTCAAATAAGTGTTTTGTGGTACAGAATTTAATAATAGCTAGGAAAAGGCGAAATTTATAAGGCATTTTTTGTGAACAAAAAAAAAACAAAAAAAACAACCGGTTTCGTCCCAGGACTTATCAAGTTTATTTTTCTGTGAATAGAAAATTTATAAAAGCGTGTAAATTAAATTAACGAATAGAATTGAATGGAAGAGAAAAAAATGAATTTCAAAAAACTAGAGTCCAATAACATTCAGACCCAGTACGCATTCCCTCTGTTTACAAAAGGAAGGCCCACGGGATCCGATATACAAGGACTCTAGAACCTTGAGGTGATATGAGGAGTGGGACCTAGATAAAATCAAAAACTGGTCCACACTAAAATTAACTACACATTTCCTACTATTTATTACATGCTTAGCAATATATATTTTCTAAATTTAGTCTGCTAAAAAGTTCCATCAGTGTAAAAATGAATTCGGACTTGTTAACAATTACTTCAGGCAAAATTTATGGAATATTGATCTAAATTTTTCTATAAATATATTTCCTCCTTTCTCTTTCAGTCTATCGGTTGTATGAACTTTATGCGCCTACTCACTTGAACGCAAATATGTCACATGGCCAAGTTGATGTGGGAGTCCCACGCGTCCATGGGATTTGATAATAATCCATTTGCCATTCTCTATTGAGACACCTTAGGAATAAAGGATTAACCCTGAACCGCTCCCCTTAGTGCAGCAGGAAAATTGATCTCCTCCTGGGGATAGAAACGTACAGTTCCGATCTCTCTTGAGCATAGTAAAAAAATTATTGTTAAATATATTACACACTCGAGAGATTCCTGACTGTATATGTTTTGTCAGTGGATTAGCGTTGCATATATACAATGAGCTTAATTCTCTGGCGCAAGTCCAAAACGGTCAAACATGAGAAGATAGATAGATAGATAGATAGATAGATAGATAGATAGATAGATAGATAGACTGGACTCTCCTGTCAAGAATCAACCACAT